ACTGCTCAGCGTTTAATGGAATAAAATGTCATTTTTATTTGTTAAATTATTTAACATAAGCTATCAAAATGCAGTATAAAAAAGGTACAGACCCACATCTGTTTTTTAGGTCCAATACCAAGTTCTGGGATTAAGCTTTGTAGTTTTAAAAACCACTCGCAAAAAATGCCCAGTCGCCTCTTTTAGGCATCTTTTTATGTTCATGCAAATATCTTAGCTTCGGCACTAGATTAGAGAAGCTATTCAGCCCTTATAATGAGAAGCATTTTGTACAGCTTGAATTTCTGCATCTTTTGATAAAAAAAGAATAGTTTTTCTAAATCGAAGTTTCGAGAAAATTAACGAGGAAAAGTACGATTCCATTGGCCGACGTTGTTTTATTGATGTTTTGCGGTTTTTGAAGCCGAAAGAACTAAGCTTATAAAAGCAAGAGAAACACCAAAAAATTCTACATCTCTTACTATGAAGATACATTTTTTGAGCTGCAATTAACTGGGCAAAAATTCTTGTTCACAAGTGTCTCATTTAGCAGTTGAGCAGTTAATGTTCTTGTGGCATCTAGTACCATTAATGATACAAGGGAAGGACAAATGCTCATTCTGCAAGGAACATGTCAATAAAATCTACACAAAATTCTCTATCTTTTAACATCAAAACGAAACTTCCTCATCAAATGTAAGTTGAGGAAACAGCATGTCAAAAGTCGGCAATTTATTCTGCCGCACCCGTTAGTTTACTTTCTTTTCATCGTCGCACGTATTAGAGGTCTATAGAAATTTTCTACACAAAAGTAATAGAATAATGCAAACATCATCTAAAAGTTTTATTTTATATGCACTGTTGTAAAGTTAAATCGATTTGATTTACCAAATAAAAGCATGTTTCGACAGTAGGTTTGCTATTCTGAAAATAAATAACATAGCAGAAAAGTTTCTAACTAACGAAAAATATTTGATTATTTTATATGATACAGTTAAAATCGCTTATTTCATTTCTCTTTATGTTTTTAATCAAAATAATAAGATTGATTAATTAATTAAATTTACTATTTTGAGATTTATATAAACAAATTAATATGGATGTACTATTACATTTATCGAGAGAAAGAATAAATTAATCTTTTTTTGAAATAGATTCATAAATGATTACTTTTGCAAAAAATGACACTCATATAAATTTTATCTTGAGATAAAAGTTTACGTCTGTTCCATATGAGATTTATTTTGAAAAAAAACAGTTATTTTGAAGATACGAACAATTTTGAATACTCATTCACATCGATTCATTGATTAAAGCATGAGAAATATGATTTTAGAGTAACTATAAACGAAAAGTTGTCGACTTTTTATCTGAAGTATGTAATATGAGATTTCACGGCAGGAGAAAAATGTGTAGTTTTCATTGGAGCAAGTAGATTAATAATCTCGACTTTGATTACAAATGAAAACAAACTCATATATTATTTTTTTTGCCTTATTTTTTAATATTTAGGGTGGTCATAATAGGAAGTCTTATTTCATTTCAAGTAAGTCAATAAAACATGCATTTTAATGAGGTTTTTTTGTAAAAGCATGCTTTTCTTTTATCAGAATCAAAATAGTTTTGATCTGATGTATTATATTTCTCTATAGAAAATGATTTCGTACAAGTCTACGCGTTTTTCAAAACTTTTACAAGCCAATTTTCCATCACTTAGTATTCATTGAAAAACAGTACTTTGAATGCAGCTTTTGATAGTCTTTCGCATGGCGTTTAATAAGTTGAAGTTTACTGAATATTAGTCAAAAATTATCACCGTTCTGCAGCTTATTATACGAAAAGATCTGGAGTAGCCACTAAAACACTTGTCTTCAAAACTTTTTCACACATCAACGCAACAAAATCTAGCTCATCATCAAGAGAACAATTTTCTTTTTCGAATGAGGTATCATGCAGAAAATTTTATAAAAGAATGTAATCATAGCGATCAATAGGAAACAAGTAGTTAAATCATTTTAGGAGAATGAAATAAAGGGGAGTCTTGTGATTGTGTCCTCAATAAAAACTTTCCACACAATGTGGAGTAACCTGCGAATTTCTACAAGTTTACTAAAGACACTAGTGTATGTTATGAGAAAAATCCAACTTTTCTAGCTAATGCAACTTTTGAGACTTGCCCAAAATAAATATCACTTTGTCTACTTGTTCAATAATGTTGAGGGGTGTGAGCATGAATGTGGGTCTGGCTGTAGGTGGATGTGACTATAGTGTGCCGGTATAGAACAGGAAAACGATTCATATACAAATTCTCAAAGTTAAAACTTAAAAGTGTGGTACTTGAGAATTAAGTTTTGATTAGCTGTTAAAACATCAGACCTATTCTCGAACTAACAAGAATCTAGAGCCGAAGTCTGAGATCGAACCCGAACGTTCGAATTTGCTGTATACCTTAAAGTAATTCTTTTCATCCATATTCACACCCAGAGCCTCATATTTATTGCGTGAGGCATAAGACCACAGTATATTTGTGCGAAGAGAGGCCATCGTACTTCGATTTGATTTTAACGAGCGATGATTTTCAATTATCGCATACCTCATGGTGACTAAGTAAATCAAATCATTACACAGTATTTCAAGCAATAATAACTTTCATACTTTATTTCCAACTAAAAACTAGCATTTGGCAAATTCAAGAAACAATTTTCACGAAAAAAAAAGAAGTTTGTTCAAAAAGTATCATGAGTACAGAAAACTTTTGCCCTACAGAGTAGCTGTGTCTTGATGATGTTTTATGCGTTAACAATACGGCAAAGGGGTTCAATAAATGTTTGCAAGTATTTGGATCTGAAAAGCGTTAAAAAAGCTTTGCCAGTTTTTCTTAATAAAATTCACCATGATTAGCAAAGAACAGACTAAACCGTCTATTTCAATCATAATATAGTGTTTTTTAAACTAAATTTACTTATTGTTTCTAAACAAAAACTCGTTATTTTTCATATTCAAGTTCCATCATAAGATACGTATTACAAATAATCCACATATTGTTGTAGACTTTCTTGATTAAAGCAGCACGAAATTGAAACAGCTACTGATTCATTTTAAAATCATTGGACTGATATACTGTCTTATTGTAAAAATTCAGTTGGACATTTGAATCTAATTGACTCACTAATAATATGTTGTGTTTCATTGCTTAGTGCTAGAAGTAAAGGAGTGTAAGTATTTTCGGTTTCATCAATTTCTTTCATTCGTGTACTGATGTTGTTGAAACACAATCAAAAACAACTATAGATTGCTGTCTTGTACAACAAAACAGTGAAATCTTCTATTATTTCAACTAAATTTTAAACAGAATAATTTTTAAAGATATTATCCACCGTTTTTGAAATACAATTTGAAAAAACAATAAAAATGAGACAATGATTTAACAAAAAAAGTGAACTAACAATAAAAGTAATTTTGGAAAATGATCATTTGAGTCTAGAACTTTCCAATTTCTTGAATCAATAAAAACTTTTTATTTGGAACTTCAGAAATGCAAAGCATATCAATTGGTAAGAACTTCGAACTGAATTTATAGAGGAAACAAAATATTTTTCGTATATAGGTATTGGAAAACAAATATAATCTTTGATTATCAGTTTCACATCTTACAGTGTTATAGACTATTATAAAAGATCAACATGCTTATTCTACTTGAGTCATTGATAACAAATTACATAAATTATAATATTCAGTATTGTGGATATCAAATCTTGTCTGTAATACTAATTCTGTGCTGAACAGAATATCGGTTATTATTACCGTGCACAGCTAGATACACCATAATAACACCCTATATTTTGAATTTTTTAGCTTCATTATGAAAGCTTTATTTTGATCCAAATATATCTAGCCTTAATAACTAACAATACAAACATATTCATTATTAGAAACGATATTAGTCAACTATGAGTTTAACTGATCATGTTGTTAAAGTTTGGAACAAACAATGTGCTAAAGACAAAATCATACACTGCTATATTAAGAATATTAAGGCCCCCCCCCCCCCCCCCTCAGAAACCAACTTTGTCATTTCTCATTCGATTTCAACGAAAATTTCAGAGAATGTTAGTCTTGGCTAGGGGAGACCGTGATTAAAATATCTTCCCAAATCTCTGAGAAACGAATGAGTTACAGTCAATTTATTGGTCAAAAGTACCCTCCACACGAGCAGGGTTTTCGATATAAGAATATTGGCTAATCATGTCAGCGTGGTATTTAACTTGCAGAGTGCCCTTAGGGCCAGATTCTCACGCGCCCCGATTTTTAAATTTCTCTTTGTTTGATTTTGAAAAATACTTTTTCGAAAAATGTTCAAATTCAAAGCGCTAATAAAAATGAAATATCTAAGTTTTTTATTTTAGTAAAAGAGAAATTTAAAAATCGGAGCTCGTGAGGATCTAGCCCTAACTGCCTGCTATACAAATAAAGAAAAAATTATCACTTCTATATTGAGTCGTTGTTAAGAAATCCTTGCCCGCGTAAACGGTATGGTCGAAAAACTTGATTTTGAGAAAAACGAAAAATAAGTTTTTAAAAACCTTATTTTTTCAATATGGGGATTCAGAAAAACCTACGTAATATCCTTAAATCTCATGATAAAATCAATCAACTATAGTGCATTCAAGAGTGGACACTTTGCTGTATCCAATGAGTTATAAATCACAAAATCGATAAATTTGACCAAAATTGACTTTTCTGAGGGGGGAGGGGGGCGCCTTAAATATGAAGAGCACTAGTATCGGATGACTCATAATTCGAATCTCGAAAGTTCTAGAATCAAAAGATATATTACCCATTACAACTTATATTGCAAAAAACCTAGACAAGTCACAAGTATTTTCGTTTTTTTTTCTACTTGATATTGTCCTAACTCCTGAATGTTCTAATTATTAAATGGACCTTGTGATCTATCATTAATATCTGTCACATTCGATGATTGAATTATATCACATATTGTTTGGATTAATGATGTTTCATTATTCCATTATGGAAGGATTTGCAGATGATGTAGATGTTTCCTGCAATTGTTGTTGTGCTCTTCGTTCTGTTTCTTGTTTTATTCTTAATTGTTGAATATGTACTGGCAATCCAGGATCAAGATTCAATGCATACGATAATATCAGTTTTGGCATGTCACCAAATTCAACCATTACTTTAATAAACATAGCATCATCTCGAACATACGGATTACCTTCTTGTTGAATCATCGTCAATGGAAAGAATTTAGGAATACCACTAGCAATATTCATTTCTGATTGTGGTCTTTGAAAACTATTTGATTTAATATCAGGTCGAAACGAATCTACAATATGTCGTTGTTGAGGAGTTTGATCATACAAACAGAAGGTGACCTTATAGTTGAATGGAAATTTTAGTATTGCATCATTTGGGCCACGCATAAGAACAAAAAACAATGACATATGTGTACGTCGAGCATTGTCATTACCATTAAGATAAAGTCTAGCTCGCATTTTATAGCCAGTAGATGACGAATAAAATGGAGGTGAATCCGTTGATGTTTGTCGTTCCGATTGAGCGTCCACTAAAAGATGAAGAAATCAATGAGAACATGTTTTTAAAGTATATTTTCTTTTTCCTTTAATCGATAAACTTATCATCATTATCAACGAACAAACTGAACCGTCTATTTCGATGATATAAACTTGTTTTTTGTTCAAATGGAACTTACTCATTTTTTGATGAACGTTTGATATTTTCCATATTAATGTTCCATCATAAGATACACATTGCATATCATCAATTTTTTGCTTCAATGTTGCAACATTTTCTTGAAAACTTTCGTGATTAGGTTTAACAGTACCTAAAAAAGAACTTTGTTCTTCAATACTCAATTTTATCCTTGAAAACTCTTGTGTGACAGATTCAATTGAACTTTGTAATCGAATAGATTCACTACTAAGACGTTGTGTATCATCATGTATTGTTTGGATTCCACTTGTAAAAGTATTTATTCTTTCATAGATTTCTTGTATTTGTGGATTTATATTATCATTATTATTTGAAGCTATTGAGCTAGAAGCACCTCGTTCGATATCAACATCCATTCCTGATACTCGTTCATATTGTTCATTTCTTTCTCTCGATACTAAGCGACGTATAAAATTAACTATTGTCTTTTGATGAATATCACTCAAATAATGCTCTTGCAATTGAGCTCGACAGACCTAAAGAAATTGTACAATAACTTTCGTTTTACTAATTGTACGAATAAATGTAACTTTTAAAGTTTAATGTGTAATATTTTATCGTAATAAAATATAGACTTCATTCATAATAATCTTTGTTTTAGATAAACTATCGAAAGATTATTTAATATCAATCGAAATATTATTCCATTGAGAAATACTAATTTACGCGTTTTTTTAAGCTTGAAAATTGCTTCTTTGAATAATTTCAACTTACTGAATCCAAACAACCATATTCTTTAAGTGCACAAGGCACAGTAATTTTACTACATAGTTTTTGTTTGTGTTCGTCAAGTCCAATCGTTGAATCAAATTTTTCTCCGCAAAATTCACATATTGGATTTGGATGAGTTGTTTTTAGATGTTTCTGAAATATGAATTTATCATAGAATAAAAAATAAATGAAAAGTTGTATTATAAATCATAAATTAAAACGTTTTTCAATCAATATTTAATTATTGTGATATGCATTTTCATGAAATATATTTATTTTACCTCATAATCTTTGAATAAACCATTCCATAAACATAATGAACATGTAATTGATAACGATTTCATATCATTGTTGAAGCCTCGATCAGATGTAATCTTTCAAAAAAAAAAAAAAATTATTTTCCCTAAATAGAACAGAATTTCAACACTGACTTCATTTTTTGATGTTTCTTCATGACATTCTGCACATTTGATTATGTCCCTTGATCAAAGAAATACAATGTTAAATTGAAATTAATAATCTATTCTTATATACTCATTAATATTTTCTATGCAAGTTCTACACTGCCGATGACCACAAGAAAGCTGACAAGGTTCTTGTAAAATTAAATCACACACTCGACAAATGTACAATGGATTGACAGCGTCTCTGTTTCTTGCATCAAAACCTACCATTCTTGAACAATACTATAATATGAAAGCTAAATATTTATTTAAAAACTCCATGAAATCTACATACTTTTGTGTTTCTTTTTATATTTTTTCCAATGACACTTGCATAAAATGAGTCGATGTCAATCTCTAAATTAATTGGTTATTGAAATATTTTTTTTTGAATATGTAATATTTCTTCAAACACAAACACTGCTCTTAATCTTATAAGTACTCGTATTTTCGCAAGATTTTCGTTGAAATCACTTTAAAAAAACAATCCTACAACAGTTTTGAAAAGGAATAAGACATGTTGATTGCTTTGTTAGATGTTTAGATGAACTGGAAACAAAATAAGAATTCTGTCATAATATCATTCATTAAAGTATATATGATGGTGCTTTATCACTTATTCAATAATATTTCCTTAACCATAATATAGTTATCTACGGGTTATTATATTCTCTTATCATGTTCTCGAGAGTTAATTTTTATCGTATAGTCGGAAGATTTAATCGTTATTCCTTAAGTTGTGTGTTATAATTGTTAGTATATAAAAAAAAAAACTCTGACTCTGTCAAAGAAGATATTATTTACTGTCAGAAATCGACATGTATCGTTACTTCTGTGTCACATATTCATTCGAACTGTACAGTGACGTATAAAATGTCATGCAACTGGAGAGTTTGCAATTCGTTTTTCTGACAAAAAAAAATTGTCGTATGTGTTTTGCTTTGATAGTTAATAGAATTCTTAAAAGTATATTTTGATATTCTAATTTTTCTAATAAATAGCGATTAAATTATTCCGCATTGCTTTGTTTTCATGTCGATGCAATATATATCTGAATCTATACTTATGCGTAAATTATTTTCTTTCTAATGAGTATAGGCAAATAATTAAAATGAAAACCTTAAGAGAAAATGAATGACATTCGACTGAAAAAGCTATTAAATGATTCATGAAACAGATAATGTTATCGAAGTAATGTATTTAAGTATTATTTCTTTGCGCGCAAATGATAATTATGTCAATAAAGTATTGCATTCAAAATTACTATAAGTCCTTTTTATTGTGTCATAATATAGAACTGGTTCAATGTAGATGAGGCATTCACCGTCATTCTTTAACTGCATACCATTTAGACTTTTATAGACATGCATTTCTCGAATATAAATAAATCAGTGACAGATCTATGATTTTTCAGAGAGTAAGGAAGCTTTTTCGAAGGATGATACCACTCGATCATAGGCTAAAATCTCCTGTTTTAACTTATGTAAGTCCGTGTAAACTTGTTTTCGCTTTAAATTCTCAAAAAAAAGCATCGTCACGACTGGCGAATCAAAAAATTCTCTGTTTCAGGAGTTAAACATCTTTTGTAGTCTATGATAACTTTTCGCATATAATGTTGTTCTTAAATTGAAATCTGCGCAAAATTAACACTTAGTCCTCAATTATTTCCATCCTAAATTCGCGACTGAAACTCTTTGACAAAACAAATAGATGAAAAAAAAACCCGCACTAATAACAAAAACTAAAAATAATGCGCCTTTGCAATTTTTTCCATTGATACAATTTAATTATCTCTCTTTGATTTTTTGTTTATTCTTGCTTTGTTTTTCTTTTATATCTGATCTTCGTATTTTATTTTATAATGATGGATAGTATTTATCATTCATCATCTCCAATTGATTTGACTACTGAAAAACCATTACTAAATGATCATCAGTCAGTAATTAATGAAAATAGTTCAGTTCAACAAGTTTTACAAAATGATGAAAAGAAACCATGTTCATCATATTTTAAATTATCACGAGATGAAAATCAAAATTTCGATTCATCAGATTTTCAAGATCCACTTTTCTATGAACAACCATTAGATTTCCATTATAATCGATTAATGCCAACTGTAATTACATCAGATTATGAAACAGGTGATCAAATTCGATTAGCAAACAAGATAACACCAAGTAAAAATCAAAAACAAAGTTCTTTATCATCACATCAACATGAAATAGACAAAAGTAAATCAATTTATCAACAACATTCAAAAACAAAGAAAAATAATAATCAAATAAGAAAAAAGAAAGAGACAAAGAAAAAATCATCGATTGACAACACAAACAAAATCAAACGATTCTATAAAAAAAACAGTCAAAATCATCTCGGACGATTTCCATCTGTGGTAAATTATAAAATATTATCTTCTTGAATCTAAGAGTTTTTTTTTAATATCTTTATACTGAAAGAATAATATATTATTGATATAAAAACATGTATAATTATGTTAGATTTTTATTTTTCTCATAGTCGAAAAATCGTCAAACATTATTTCTTAAACATCATCAAAAACAACAAGAATTATTTTTAAATAAAAAGAAGAAACTATTAAAAGAACGTATTGCATCAAAGAAAAAATCAATGTTGAAAATGAAAAAAAATAAATCTTTACAATCGACCCGGCATAGTCGAAGATTTAATATGACTAATAATCGAATTAATTCAACAAGTTTATCTAATCGATCTTTGACTTCAAGATATAGAAAAATTCGTTCAATTCCTCAATCCAAAACAAAAATTATTCGTAATCAACATTCATCTCAATCAAATAAGAATCAAACTGCATCTATTTCTCGATTGATTGATAATTCAAAAACTCGAATAATATCAAATAAAAATAAATCTCAAGCAAATATATCGATTCTTAATCCAGTTTTAGAATCAAATAATCAACAAATGATAAAAAGTGAATAGAAAAATTAAAATTTAATTCTCATCTTTTTAAATTACAAGGATCAAGAAAGATTTTCTATTTGTCTAAGTTTGAATATCAAAAGATTTACCACGATATGTCTTTTTTTTCCGTTATCCAATAACTAATACATGAAATAAATGTAAATTTTATTTTAGTAACAAACAAGGATAAGATTCAAACACCTACAAACACACTATCTTCACCATGTGTACATGCAAAAGCATCTTCAAAAACATGTTTGAGTACGGAACGTAACAAAAAATTATCGAAAACAAAATTTCATCGTTCAAGATCTAATTTAAAATCAAAACAAATAAAAAAACGAAATCGTGCTTGTGGTAAATTAAATATCTGCTCACCATTAAATACAAAAGTTCCAAAAAATATTCGACATTATCGAAAACATGAATCTAAAAAACACAAAACACAATTTCCTCGATGTCAATCAAAGACTCTAAGTAAGATTCATTAAATCTACTCCAATGTGATAACTTCTTGGATAAGTCAGATTCGAATTTTCATAAGAAATATTTCAGAAATACAATAGCGAAGTAATTCATGTATTAAAACGAGGCATTATTTATATATGATCTCTGATCGTATATTAAAAACGTCTTTTCAATAGTCATTTTTAATTCGTGTACTATAAAAACAATAATATAGCATATCTTATTATTGAATTTTTTAGTTCGCATAGCACCACTCGTTCAAAATTTGACAAAATCTATTGAAGCAAATAAAGATAATACTCAAATGAATATAAAACCATCAGTATTTTCATTGAAAAATAGCTTAATTGATAAAGTATCATCAACATCTACTATAATGCCTTTAACAAAGAATAATGCACAATTAACAAGCAAGAACAATAATAAACGTGCATCAAAAATTAAACGTCAACGAAATAATTCGACATCAACACAATTAGAAAGAAAAGTGATGAGATCAACAAGAACAGGAATGGTTCTTCGTTCAAAAACAATCATTATTAATAATTCTAATTCGACGAAATAAAATAAATAAAATATAAATGACAACATAAGAATCTAAATACATCTATTTTTTTTCCTATCGACGTAATAAATAAATATAATTTTAATATTTGTTCTATTCAAAAATAAATTTTCTGAAAGATACATATTACGCAATTACATTCTAATGCAACCAATAGTTGCTGATTTTGTTTTTATTCATCGTACATATAGAGAAAAGTTATCGCTTTTTATCACAGGAATTGTAATAACAAGATAATGCAAAGTAAATAATGACAATATATGATAATCTAAAATGGTTTTATCTGTATGATGTTTCATCATTGATACTGATTAAGGAGATTAGTCGAATTAAAATGATTCTGTCTTTTTTTTTTCCATTTTTAAAGTTTGATTCAATAAATATGCATTCATTTCTTTCTATGTATATGATTTATATTTCTAGAGATTTAATAATTAAATCGTTTTTTTTCCTATCAAAGACATTATACATTCTCTGAATGTTCAGAATGAGTCTTTCGATGCTTGAAACTTAAATATCGTTTTACAAAGAAATATTTCTTTTCAACTGAATATTTAGTTGTCGTTTTCAGTTTCACATATATAAAATTGCAGCATTTTATTTTTATAATTTCTTAATCTGAATTTCTGCAATAGTTTCTTCGGATTATGTTCAATCAAATCTTCAGACGTTAAAGATTAACTATGATTCTATCTATAGTGTAAAGAATGAAAAATAACACTGATTTTGTCAAATACTGTGTGTTTCAAGACTTTTTAAAAATTTAAAAGCTCCTCTACCATAACTGTTGGTTATTTGAATAAAATTTCATGATCATAAGAAAAATTTAACATCTTCGCTTGAAATTAAATTTCATCATAATTTATTATAAGTTTCATCTAGAAAATAGCAAGGGATCTACAACATCCCATTCTATTCTGAACTCTAGTCCGTATCTATATAACATATAAAATACATTCTCATTTAGTATTTATTCTATTAACTCTTGCAATCATGCGATCTTATAAATAACTCAAAAATATTATTTACTCTCTTTCTTCATTGTTATCGAAATGTTCAGAAATGGAATAACTACAACCAAAGAATATATTGAATAAACCACTTACCACTTAGTTGGCCAAGTGTGTAACCGTTCAGTGATTGCTATTTCAAAGATTGACTAACACTTGGTTCAGCTGCAGTAATTAAGATGATCTGTAAAAAAAAATTCCAAAATAAGCCTTTAATCAAACAATATGAAATGTTGTTTCTGGAACCATTCTCTTAATATCGACAATTTCTCTTGTTTTAGAAATATTTATAGTTTAAAAATTGATTGAACTAGAATTCGAATAAATATTTATCTTCATCAATTTAAATGTCGATATTTTCACAATTAATAAATAAATACTATTTGATTATTTTCTATTAAATGAAAATCATGTTTGTTTGAAAAATGATTTCGAAAACAAGAACCGTACAAGCCTTACCAAATGTATAGCTTAATCTGTAAAGATTTTCTGCTATAAAAAAACTCACTTAATTGACGGTATTATATAAGAAATCTCTCGATACAATATTTAGATTTCTTTTTCGTTCAAAAGACTTGAATACTATTCAATGGAAATCAATCAATGATTATTCATTTACATATCATCCATAGTTCATTATTAAAATCTAATAGCAAATGGGATACTAGAGACATTGAAAGTTGGAGAAAAGAATTTACGATACTTCATAATGAAGGTATTGACGGTTTGGCATCTATATTACCCTTATTGAAAAATTTCTACTGTTTTCTTACGTTATATACAAGGCAAGGAGAAAAACAACGTCGACAAAGAGTAAGAATGGTAAAGAATAGAATCCTTGTTCTCTCAAAAACTATCAAACAAAATCGAAATAGATATTAATGCAAACTCGTAATGCAAGTGAATGATTCTTAGACTCTATACAGCTAAAAATATAACCAAATTAATAATAATTTAGTATCTTTTTATTGTCGCACGTTTTCCAAGGCCAAGGAATTTTTTTAAGCAAAAATAATAGAACACTGAAAACATTATCTAAATTTTTGATTTTATCAATAATAAAATTTTATTTTCTATGCACTACTATAAAGTTAAATCGGTTTGATTTGCAAGAAAAGCATTCTTTGTCAGCAATTTTGTTTTTCTACTAACAAAAAATATTCGATTGTTTCGCATAAAATTAAAATTGCTTAGTTCATTACTGTTCATATATTTAATAAAATAATAAGATTGATTTATTAATTAATCCGATATTTTAAATTTTATGTAAACTAATTAATACGCATGTACCATAACGTCTATATCGATTATCTTCAGAGAAAGGTTTAACTATAAGATTTATGAGATCAAAATAACGATAAACAATATATGTTGGTTTTTGTGGGTCGTAGTATGTAATATTAAAATTGGCAATAGACAAAAAAAAAGAAAGTGCAGATTTCTTAGAATTAATACATAATTAAAAACAATCATAAATAAAGACTATCATTTAATTTCAAATGAGTCAATAAAATATTCATATTTAATCAATTTTGAAAACTATTAAAAAAACCATCGAATGTGAAAAGTATGGTGTTAATTTTTTTCCATGATACTGTTTTTAGTTAATGATTTGCTGAGATTAAGAAAAAATTTTTCTTTGCTAGATCTATTGATGATCTGTATGTTTTGTCACTAATTTAGATATACATATATTTATAATCTTTTGTAACTTTCATTTTGTAATGTATGTACTGAAAGCAAAAAAAAAACATGCAGTTATGTGTTCTATCACGTATGATAATCATATGAACGTTCAGACAGCGAACAAAAAAATATTAAATGTATTTCGATTATATTTATTTTATTTACATAATTTGCATCCATACCGATTTTTTATATAAAGAAGAAAAATATCCTGAATATTTACTGGCCTGTTGTGCATGACACATTGCAATGGTGTAGGGTTTTAGTATGTTTTACGCACATGCGCTACTTTGCTTTTATATCGTAAATTTTGTTTTACAGAATAGAAAAAAAAACACGCAAGTATGCATTATAACATAGGTGTCAGTGTGCTTTTGGTTATAGTGTAGCAATGCAGTGTGTGGGTGACTACGATGACATTGGGTAAGAACTACGTCAAATAGTAGCTCTATCATCATGCTAACTCTTCAACCACCGATATACCTTAATATTTTCGATTACTACTTGACATAGTTCAAGAAAAAATGATATTAAATATAAAACAGAGTGACATGTATTTCAATTGTAAGAAAGCGCCCTCTCTAGTAGCAATCGATGATGATCTACTTAGCAATAATAAATAAGATATTTAAGATTTATCAAGACTAGATCGTGAAAACTTCCCTTACAGTTATACGAAAGAAACTTCTTTAATTCTCTTTAAAAACAGTAGTCCAAACAATAGGTGTTTTTGTTATATCGTGAATGGGGATTGTGACGCATATCATTTATCATCGTACCTTGCTATTTTCGAGTTGTTTACAATAACACAAGTAAGCTATTACGCTTAATTATATTTTCAGTTAGAATCACATCAGTGCTTTAATAGTTGAACTCTAAATGATATATTTCTAACAATATAATATATATAATCGTCCGAGAAGGATTCATTCATTTCGTTTGCTTAACATTGAACATAAACGATGTGTACGATTGAAAGAAATATGTTGTCACGCAATTAAGACTTCATCTGCAAATAGTCCATATAATTAGCTTTTAAACTAAATAAAAACTAGTGAAAAATTGGATCTAGCAATAGCAATCCATATATATATATCGATTCTGCCCAGTTTTGAAAAATCCTACATTTCCAACGGACTATATGCGTAATACTATGTTCATCTATGGGATGAAGTTCAAGCCATAGAAACTAATCAAACAGAGAAGATTAAGTGGTTAAGAAATTCAGTAAAACATTTTGAATGTGAATATTGTCGAAACCGATGAAAATCGTTCAATATAACAGGGCGATCATGTCAGGAGAAATCTATCAAAACTAAATTGAAGCAATCAACTTTATTACTTCTGTCCCCTTTAAAGTATTTTTTATAATATTATTCATCACTCATACAACACCTTTATTACTGATTTGACTAAAATCATCTTTCAACTTTCACTTCAATTTGTTGTTTCAGTTTGTTGCATTTATCATTAATATGTTCATTTTTTCTTTTAAGAGTATTTAGTCGAGCTCCAATAGACACTTCCAATTTGCCCTGTAATTCATAATAAGACAAACCGCGTTCTTTGATCTATAATGAAATTCAGTTTTTCCTCTAAATCAAGATCATTATAATATGTCATATATCTAATAAATAATGTAGGCCTCATCAAAGATAATGACACTTTTATGTCCAATCAATATGGAATTGTGCAAGTAATCATTTGCAAATAAGATGCTTATTTTTTCGATCATTGTAGGTTTCTTCCCCGCCCTCCCCCCTCCCTCCCCTCTGATAGTGTCAAATTGGTTATGTTCATTATGTGTATGCATTTCGATAGTTTATTTCGAAAATCGAATGCTGCAGCATAAAAAAACAAAAGTAACTATTCGTCATTTGTTTCCTTTGTTTATCTCAGAAATGTTTTTTCAGCATGAACATGGTTTTGAAAATGTTTAAGTTGATCTGTTTTCATTTTTTGTTGTTTCGACAATGTATTCGACTATTTTTCATTCTCGGATGTTAATAAATCTGTGCTCTAAATCTGTTAGTATTATATTTATCTTCTATCATTGTTTTATCAGTGCCATTGTTAGTGTGTCTCAAAGATTTGCTTTGATGGTTGCGTTTGTTGCACTTTTTAAATATAGTGGTCATGTAATCAGTCGAGTTAATCCTCTCCTAAGTGATCCTTTGATTTGTGAATGATCTGTAATGAGAAACTCTTATTGCTTAGAAAAATCAGAGCATATCTTGTTATATTAAATTATTCTGCAAAATATGTCAGAAGCTGAAACAAAATTGAACTAAAACAGACTTTTCCAAAAATTTCACTTGTTTATTGCCATCGACATATTTGTTTAGCAAGCAATTCGGATTCTTTCACGCGATGAGCCAGTCGATATGTCCAACTTCCGCTGTTCGAAAACATTGTCGTCAAAATAAACGAATATGTTAATACTCATGAATAGAGATGCCCAAATAGACATAAATTTTTAAAAACACCCTAATTAGAATTTTCGTTTGAGTGTTTTTCTTTATCATAAAAGATGCTTGACAACACTCGAAACAGGAAATTTTGCATTTGAAAAACATCCACAAAAGTTTTCTCACAATATATTTGACATACACCATGCATAAAAAGTCATTTTGACATGAAATATATGGCGACGAAAAAAATTTACCTTTTAAAGTGTCTTGATGCATCGTTTATGATGAAAGTGGCTAAATTTGGTGTCGTCTGAGTGAATGTGAAGACGCACAGTGGAATATTTCTACCCATCAAGTGAACATTCGCTTCTTGTACTCAAAAGTAAACCTCAGGAAAAATAGCGACAGTTGAAAAAAAATCATGTGCACCGAAAAATTTCTACAGAGAACCTGTAGTCTAAATTCCTGTGAAAAACTTTTTTTTTAACAATAAACAAATAATACTTCACCTGATGAAATTTTTTACGTCGATTCCAAGTATGTCTTTATTGTTCTCTTCAAGTGGTTCTTTAACAAAGAAGTCAAAATTTTTAGAAAGTCTGTATATCAGTCTAGAACCATTCGTGGATCTTTGCGCTATCGAGTATATGTCTCACATATAGAAGAAGAAGAATCTTTGAAAGTTTCTTCGATATTGGATGGGTGAGAAAAAATGGCAGCAAAGTTTGCTGAAGATATCTTTTCGACCAAGCCTTACTGTTTGAAAAATAATCATTTTTTTTTTGTTTGAGAACGAAAACTTTCTTTTTCTTAAAATTACTGAAACTGGACCTTTTTTATAATCAAATAAAGTTTTTGTTAATTAAACTGCATAAGTTACTATTCAAATTTTCAAAAAAGTTCACTCTCATTTTTTTTCATCTAATTTTCACGTTGCTACACATTGTAAAATGGAAATACGATTACAATGTGTTTTTTGGAAATTCGTTTGTTATGACTTGATATTATGAACAAGAAATTAATATACTTCGAAAAAAAAATATTTTATACAGACAAAAATTTAACAATGAAATAAAAAAGAAACAAACTTAGTCGAAGATGATTAGACACAATAACAAATATAAAACTATTTAGTATTTTTTTTTTCATATTTTCGTCATGGACGGATTAGAACATATATATCGTATGTAAAGAATTGCACTGGAATGAAAAAATTTTCATTTATTCGTGTTTGAAATCATTTTATTCTATAAATCATCATCTCCATCACCTTTATCAAATAATTCATTATTATTTAAACGATCTAGATCTGATTTGGTACGTGTTGTAAGACCATTGGTAATATTAGATCGATTATTCGATGACTCTGGTATTGATATTGGACTAGTTGTGCCTGGTTTTTTTGCTAATATTTCATCAACCATACTTTGTAAACAAGTACTAACTAAAGCTGCTTGTTCTGTATTTATAGTAATCCATTGTAAAGTATCTTTTTTAATTAAATATTCAAATGCTATATTGATATTTTGTTTCGTACAATTAACTTTCCAACAACGAATACGTGTAACTTTAAAAGAAAATTCTTTCGTAAATAAATTAGTTTTTATCTTATCATCATTAATTAAATAACAAAGTAATTCATTATTTCCAATAGTTAATATACACTGAGAAAGTTTTTCTGTTGTTAAATCATTTATTGAACATTGTCGAAGTATAATGTAACCATAAAATTTCGATGTACGTGATAATAAAATATATTCCTTAAATGAATTATTATCATATAGAATATTTAATTGTTGATATATATCACTTGGATATAAATCTTCACTTTGTTCAATATCATATTGTGATTGTATAAATAGTAGATTACGTGTACGACGATTATCAATTAATTTAAAATCATAATTTAAATTCCAATAAGATTTTCTAAATACAATACAATAATTTTCATTTAATTTTAATGTTTTTTCTAATGATAAATATGGAGCTTCAAAAGAAAATAATGGTCGAATCATATTTAATTGATTGTTTTTGAGTTCATATAAAAATAATGAAAAATATGATAAAAATTCATTTTCTAATTGAATTTTATTAGCACATGCATCAAATAATTGTGATGTATTATCATATGGTGAAAGATTTTCAATAATTATTTGATGTTTATTTAATAAATAAATTGTAAAATTAACTTTGTCAGGATATATTTTATTAATTAATTCATTGAGATTTGTTTCACGTTGAGCATTTAAAAAAAATTCATTAAAATATGATGATGATATAAGAGATTTATGTTGTACTACTGATTGTAAATAACGTTCAAGTAATAAACGTCGTTCATCTATTTCACGTAATGATAAACTAAAGAATTTTTTAGGTGGAAATGGTTGAATATTTATCATTGAAACTGGAAATAAACGTTGAAGTTCATCATTAAATGTATGTAATTGAGAATAACGTAAACTACAATGATGATTACCATTTATATGAATATTGAATAATGTAAAAGCATGTTGATTATTACTTCTTCTAGCAGAAATATCTGTTGTATCAGGAATGGAAAAATACATCTGCAAAGAAATATCTATATTTGATATAAAGGTCAAAGTACTTTACATAAAACTAAAATAAATAAATACATCATAACACACTAACGTTTATTATAATATATTTAAATAACACCCACAAACAAACAGCGTACGAATCTCTATTGATAAAATACTGTTTAATTTAATTTTCTTTTGTATAGGTTTTTTTTGTTTCAAGTTCAATAGTCCATATAACAGTAAAGACACTGCAGAAAAAAAAATAAAGATGTCCACAAACAGGCTCGCATACACAAAACAATGAATACATGACTTTATATATACATACATACACCTTTATTATTTATCTTATTCGTTGCGTAAATGTATAAGAAAAAAAAAGAAAAGAACTAACTAGAAGTAAAAAAAAAAGGCCAGAATACTGATTGCGCATATAGATACATTAAAGGTGAGGATTTATTTTTGCTTTTTTTTTTTTGTTTTGATTAATTATCACGTGAAACTAAACAAACCGGGGTAAGCGATCATGCATATGAATAAGAGAGAAGAAAAAATGATCATTCATATATAGATATATATATAAACATGACTTAGTTTTTGAAGAAGGGAAAAATGCAATTTCATCAGATCGCTATTACAAGACAAAAAAAACAAACGATTGCACTCATACAGAGATTAATAAATGCTATATTATCATTGATCAAGCACGAAAATAGACGAGAGAAAAAAAAAAACAAGGCGCAATGTTTTTTTGTTTTTATTTTAAACATTTGGTTCATCTTGTTTGGCATTATTATTAGTTGTTAATTGTAATTCATTAAGAATACATTCAAAACAATCATACATAAATTGTCCAAATGGTGTTTGTAATTTAACTGGTTTAGCAGTTTTCATTGTTGAACGTTTATATTCAAATATAAAATATTGTTCATCAACACAATAACGTCCAATTATTGTCCATTCAAAATCAGCTATTTGATTTGTTTCTAATTGTCCATCATCAGTACAAGCATGTAAACGAAGACGTGTACTATTTAATGATAATATAACACAACCATTATCTTTACGTGAACTACATGGACATAAAGGAAATGTTATTGTATTATATATATCGGTAAATGTTTGAGCATATTTTATATATTCAATTTCATCAAAAGTTTTTAATGCTGAACGTTGATCAACAGTAGAATTTTCTGCACGACTTAATTGATCAATTGCCTAAGAAAAAAGAAAAAAGTAACAAAAAAAATGCATTTTTTCATTGTATCCTTAATGTTTAAGAGTTTTCTTTTTGTTTTGATTACGCATATTTCTAATTAATAATTAAAGATATCTGAGAAGAACTTGCGAAGTATTATCAAAAAATAGATTAGGAATAAGAAAATCGGTTTTTTTAAATAGTTCATTCGAACGGTCAAATATGTTTTTTTATCGAATTTGAAACAATGAATGAGATTATCTCATTTATTAATCTGATGAAATTAGAGAATGAACAAGACTATTATGAAACATTGTTAATATATACGATGACTTCAAAAATTATTCGATCATGTCTATTTTCAATTCTTTTCTACTGTCATAAATACTAATAAGAATTCAAATAGTCATTTGAATAGAGACTTTTATTGATAGTAAAAACTATTTGTCGATAAAAACCTTTGTTGAAAATAAAATTTTCTACTTCAATGATTATTTTAATTCATTTTTAATATTTACAATAGCAAAAGATAATTAAAAAAAAAATAACGAATAATTTTTCGAATACCTATCATATTTAACAAAATTTTATCTTAAATATACTCATATTTCACCTTCATTAGTTTATCATGCAAGTCTATGTTTGTAGTACATCAAACAAAAGGTTAACACAAAAGAATGAATGATAACAAAGTAATATGATAAGGAACGATATTTAACTTTTATTTTTTTTTATGTGTGAAAAATTTCTAATTTTAATTAGAACAAAAAAAAAAGACAAATAATATAAACATATTTCTTACTTCTCGATAGAGATAATCACGTGCTAATGGATATTTAAAAAGTTGATTTTCAATTGTTGGTGAAAAAACAAATTTACGTAAACATAAACATGTTGTATTAGCTGTACAACAATTTTGTACATAAATTTGATGTGGATATTCATTTGGACGAAGTTTTCGTTCTAAATATTTATTTAAATAAAAATATTAAAATTTAAAATGAAAAAAATAAAAACGAAACTCTTACCAAATGTATAATCAAGAATTTCAAAAAGATAAAAAAATGAAACACATTGTTCTGGTAAATTAATTTTTGCTACAACAGCCTAAAAAAAAAAATAATAAATAAAAATTTATTTTTTTTTTTATATGTTTTACTTCATAAACTTTATCAGTAGTAGAAAAACGTTTTATTTTAAGAATTGTAACTGATCGATCAGGTAACATAATTTTAATTTCAACATCAATTGAAACTGAATCACGCTAAAATGAAATAAAATATAGTTATTAAACATTTTCTTTTTTTCTATGTTAAGAAATAGAAATTTTACTTCATATATATCAGCTGATAAAAATTCTTGTACAAGATCACAATCACCAACAACACGAACTGAACAAACTAAAAATCAAACAAAAAAAAAAGATATTTTTTTTAATATGTATGTATCAATTTTCTTTTATTTTTACTTTTATCAAGATATTGTTCAAGACCACGTCGACGAGCATCTAATTGTTGATCAGATAATTTAAATGGCCATTTTTTAGGTAAAGGACTAAATGGAAAATCTGGAAATTCTTGTTTTAATTGATGATGTAATGAAGCAAATTCTCGATAACGTCGTGAACATAAATGACGACCTATTATAATATCATATTAACAATAAAATCAAGTCATGAAAAAAAAAAAATTAATTCTTTTTGTCAATATTTACCAGCTATGTGAATATTAAATACCTAAAAAAAAACGAAAAGTTCAATAAATTTTATAATATAAATTAACTTTAGAATTAATTTTTTTTTGTCCTGTAAAACAAAATCTCGTCCTATGAAACTTTCACAAGACTATTTTCAGTCTCCATCGGATTGATTCCAAAAAAAATTGAATCTGATAAGCTCTAGTCTTCTAAGAGATGTGTAGAGTGATCTAGTCACTGAATACAAAAAAAAAAAACTATGTCATATTTTCTGAGCGACTATCTAGTTTGGATTGGAAAATTTCGTTGAGAGTATTAAAGCATGATTTGATCAGTTTGAAGTCCGAAAATTTAGGACCTAAGCGGGTGACTCTGATCCTAATATCATAAAACTTTCGTTTTTCCTCAGGTTTTTTGCTTAGCGATACTCCAAAGTACTTCAACCCTGATTAAGTTTAGAAAAAAGAAATCTTTCAATCAACTTCTAGCACTCACCTGTCAGCAGCTTATATATATATGTATATAGTTAAAGTAAAGTTTATCAAACTATTAATCTTTCTATATTATTTTGTCTTCTAAATAGTTTTTCTTCAAATAATCATCAGCTTCTTTTTACAATTTAATTAATTCTATTGACTACTTCAATAAATGTCAGGTTTTTTTTATCAGTACATTTATTAGTAATATATTTCTTTTTTGTAAATGACATTGATGCATACTTAATTTCTTTTTGAATATGACCTAAACTTAATAATTCTTTAATCTATTTTTAAATAAGACTACTACAATGAATTAATTATTCATTCTAAATATATTATTTTCTTTCATAAATAATCTTCTTTATATTTTATCCTTTCTTTTTTTTTTTTTGCATATGATTATTTTTTTAAATAACACTTAAAACAAAAACAAAAAGAAAATACTTACATAAAATTTTTCATCATTCACTTCTAATAAACTATAATCTGGTATTGTAATAGCAAGTGAACGTCTTTCTGTATAATCATTTGAACTTCCACTTGATTCTTCACCTGAATGTACATCACTATGTGTTTCATCACCAGCCGATGCAATAACTGTAAAAACAAAAACAAAAAAAAAAAAAAGAAATTTTCAAATCTACCAAAAAAAAACTAATATGCTTTATTTTTCTTCATACCAACAAGATGAAGTTCATCACCACTATGTTTAATTAAATCCACAACTTGTTTATGTGATGCACCTTCGACATCAATACCATTTCTATAAAACAAAATATTGATAAAACTTTTAAGCAGACAAAAAGAAAAACAATATAAATCACATACACTTCAAGTATTTTATCTCCAACACAAAGACCTGCTTTTTCAGCTGATCCTCGACTTGATACAGCTGATACATGTTGAAGTGGACCATAAAGTGTTCCATGTATAGCTTTAACTTGACCACCTTCAAATACTTGACCACGTACATTAAAACCAAAACCATTACTTGATTTTCTTACAATTATACTTCGTGGTGCATTAGATATTGTTGTTGGTTTAATTGTATTTGTTATTATACCTGATGATGATACTTTTCGTGTTGATGAAGATGTATCCATAATTATATGATTAGATAGAATATGTAAATTTATTTTATTTTGTCGAAAGACAAAATCAATGAAAAATTTCTATTGGTAAATTTTTTAAACCAATAAATAAAAAATCTATTCGTATTAAAACACATATGCAGAATAAAAGAAGAAAAAAAAAAAGACACAAACTTGACATTTACGACATATTGTTAATTGTTTTTCTTTTTCCTCTTTAATGTTGTTTGTTACATGTCATTGTATTTCACCTACGCTTGTTTTTTTTTTTTTTTTTGTTAGTATTACAACTTATTTGTGTAAGATTTATCTTTAACTATTTAGATATAAATTGAAGTGCGTCTTTTTTATTTTACATTTACGTAATTATAATTTGATCTATGGCACGAACAAAACAAACAGCACGTAAATCAACTGGTGGTAAAGCACCACGTAAACAATTAGCTACCAAGGCTGCACGTAAATCGGCTCCAAGTGTAAGTAAAAAGTTTTAATAATAGAAGAAGTTTTTGATTGTTAATGTTTTTTTTTTTTTTATATATAGACCGGAGGTATTAAAAAACCACATCGTTTTCGTCCGGGTACAGTTGCCTTACGTGAAATTCGTCGTTATCAAAAATCAACTGAATTATTAATTCGTAAATTACCATTTCAACGACTTGTTCGTGAAATTGCACAAGATTTTAAAACTGATTTACGTTTTCAATCGGCTGCTATTGGAGCACTTCAAGAAGCAAGTGAAGCTTATTTAGTATCACTTTTTGAAGATACAAATTTATGCGCTATTCATGCAAAACGTGTTACTGTAAGTTTTTCGTTTTTGATATAAAAATAAATAAATATTTGCTTTATTTTTTATTTTTTTTTTTACATTAGATTATGCCAAAAGATATTCAATTAGCACGACGTATTCGTGGTGAACGTGCTTAAATACAAACATACACAAGGTTTTTCAATAGATGTCTATATATAATATATAAATATATCTTTTTTTTTTTCTTTTGCTGTTGTGTGTTTGTCTCTTTCTTTGCTTATTATCGATTTTGTTTGTTCGTTCTTATTTACTCAATAACTATTCTTTATATATATATATATTTATATATATATATATATAGTTTGTATTATGTTTTTCTCAGGATGATTTTTTTTTTTTTCATATGTACGCACAATGTTGCCATTCGAATATATTCTCTCATTTTGTTGTATCGTTTAAAGGAGAAAAAAAAAACGAAAGAAAAAACAAAAGAATGTTATTATAAATATAATCATTCTGATCTTCTTTTTATTATTATTATTATTATTATTATATAGAATGGAAGTAGATTTTCTTGTTCTCTGCTATGTTGATGTGTGTGTCTGTGTGTATAATTCGTTTGTATCTGTGTGTAGTTCTTTATCTCATTAAATAAGCAAAAGAAAACAATAGTTGAAACAAAGATGTTTAGATTTTTAGTTGAGAAAATAAATCAAAAAAAAGATATGAAAGCATTTTTTTGAAATAAATAAAGCATTTATTCTTGCTGCTATCAAATGTTTTTGGTAAATATATTTAATCGAAACAAATATTTAATTTAGACAAAAGAACAGTTATTGTACTTTCAAAAGAAATCATGATCGATTTGAATAATATAGTTTTTATTTTGTTCTTTTGTATACATGTACGTTATATTGATTGGCAACATAAATACGATCATTCGAGAGATTGAATAATCATTCATCTTCATGGTAAATAGTAATGATTAAGTGAAATGTCTTAGCCCTAAGATCAATATAAGAATGTAAAGAAATTGGTACGATCAAACATATAGATTTCAAAGTTGGAAATTCAATTGTTCTTTTTTGAAGATATTTTAGAAAAAACGTATGCATAGAAAGAAATCATAGATCGTTGTTCTATTTTATACTGATAATTGCAATCAGAAGACTTTCTTTTTTGTTTCATTTCTCAAACAATGTTTATCTAACCTACGTCAATAATTTTGCTATGACCTTATTTCATCATAGTTACATTTCAGATATTAGTATTCATGTGCGGGTTTGCTAAATGCCAGAAATCTTAGAATAGAAATAATAACAGATAGTTGGTTAATCATGACGTTGGAATTATGATGCATGTCAGATAAAAATTAAATTTGAATATTTTAACTATCAAGTGAACAATTTGAACTGGTAACCACTGTTTAAGCTCATGTTGGGTCGACAAAGACACCGTGATAAGACTACCAAAAGTCTAAAACGGTTTATCTCCAGGAACTTTTGAAGCTCAGTTATGATTGTTTTATTGAATTTTTTACTTAGCTTTATGTATACACTAAAAAATTAAAAAGCACAATGTCGATGTCAAATTTTTTCCATTGATAGATCTAAGGAAATGAAGAATAATAATTTGAGTGGTTCTCTCGCTCGTAATTAATTATGAATATGCGATGTAATTGACCGTTTGACCATAGCTGTACTAACACAAATCATACTTTTTGATGATGTTGAAAGTAATTTTTGTGGTACTTTTGTTTTTGAACACTTTCAATACATCTATATTCGACATATTGTTAGTTTCATGGATTGGGATACTTATTCTGATATGTTTTTTTTTTCATTGAATGAATATGAACGACATTGAAATTATTACGCCATTTTTCTTTGGTTGAAAATTGAACTTTATCATTTGTCGCAGTAAAAGCTCAATTTTGATCTGTGTCATTTACAAAAGAATTTGTTGTTAATATTCAATTGTTCTGTAATGCATTCTTATTTGAATAGAATACGAAGGTTCGATTTATTTTATTGAATTTTTTATATTTAGATGAAGACAAATACAGACTAGGAAATAAACATTGGATAATTTTAATCTCTAAATATATTTTATTAAAAAGAAAAACACTACAAAGTATATGATAAAATGTAGCGTGAAAATTTCTATAATCCACAAAGTAAAGCTTATTTTGATTATTTGTCTTTTGTTTTCAAAATAGGCTAAATTCTATGCAATTAATTTTTGACGCTGCGAATATTATAAACATTCTGTGATAAACGATCAATTTGCTCGTTTTTTATCTCATCAATGAAAAATAATTCTATTCATTGACAAAAAAATATGTCTCATTAGAACATGCTTATGTTGCAAGTTGACAAAAAGCAGACAAACAAACGAGATATAAACCAAAAGACTATGCAACCAAAAAGAATTATGGTATGGTTAAGTGCATCTAAAAATAGTCATACATCTTCCGCTATACTTAAATCTGATAAAACATTATCATATGAAAGTTGCTCCTTCACAAGCATTATATGAAAACAAACGACGATTTTACCTATCAACATGACAACACCAAATCAAATAGACATTAGAAATTATTGACATGATGTAAAGAAAATTTCATGCATTTTATAGATAATTATCCAGATGCTTAGCAAATAGTTCTCATTTCAATGCTCTAGATTATAATGTGTGAGATGCTATTGCAAATAATATGCAATGAAATAAAGTTAAAAAACAACGATTGATTAATTGATGAACTAAGAATATAAAGGAATTCATCGTGGGTAAATAAACGATTTTATTCGCAACAACAAAAATTAATCGCATAGAATTTCATTTATTTTACAAAAGAAAAGATATAATAATTTAAATAAGCTTTATTTTCTCGATTGTAGAGCTTTTCACGCTGAATTTTGTGGTATATTTCTTTTTTTATTTTGAATACAACTTATTTACAGAATAAAATATGAAATGTTGTGTGCGGTCATTTTTTATGGGTCACCGCTTATTATTGCAGTTCCCGTACATCTCCCGAGAATTGTTTATGAAAACTGGAATGTATTTCCGACTTGTATTGCACTACATTCCGGTTCAATAGAACTAATTCTTGATGTAGATAAACAACTAGTTTCATTATCAATATGAAAAACAAATATATTGAAATACGACTAAAACATTCATTGAGATCAGTTGTTTGCTGAATCCAATAATATCTATCAAAAACATAGTTCCGAGATAATTTTCCTCGAGAAGAAAATTAATATTCAAGGTAATTATGATTTGTCTGAATCATTGGAATTTTGATGTCGGTAAGACTATGCATTGGCACTTCAGTAGGTAAAGAATCAGACAAAAATAATTATAGAATTAGTTGATGCTTGTATCCACAAAATAATGATGAAAACCGATGAAGCATTAGGTCTATAATAATTAGGCGATGTTGCATTGAACATACAAGCTTGCTCAGTCATTATATGTTTTTAGAAAATTTTAAACGAGTCGCAATATTTTGAATTATCGAAACTTTTACCAAACTTGTGAAATCAACAAATACACTAAAATATGTACAGTATTCATTGATATTTTCAATTCTGTAAATCCATCACGCATAGGTTTTCATGTTACTTTTCTACCCTATAGGTGAGTGGATTCAATTGCTAAACGTCAAAGTATAATTACAGTATATACCATGATCAGCATTGATGAAAATAAAAACATGAAATCCCTAAACAACTCAAATTAGATCTATGTCTGACAGTTGAAGCAGATTGTTGATTCAATCCTTACAGTACTATTCTTTATGTAACATAAATAAGGATTCAACATATATTCTCTATATTGTATTGTGATACGAAAATAAATATAAGGTCAACGCAATACTTTTAAGAAAGAGAAAAATAAAAACATGAATTCACTGTCAAAATATAGGATATTAATGCAATGCTTTGTAAAAAAAAATTACATAACATTTCAAATATATGCTTGTTATTTCATAGAAACAAGTTCAACACAACTAGCTTGATTTATTACAAGTATGTCTCGAAAATATATGTAATATGTGAAATTTGAATAGTCGTCCTATTCGAGATTAGCTGAAGGATAAATTTTAAATGTTTGATAATGTTGAAGGGTTTCAACTCATATAACATATGAATCAATATACGTTGAAAAACATATTTTTATCGGGTTTCTTATCTGACCTATTGACTTACACGAGAAAAGTGATGTATGCCTACAGTATTTTTCTTGTACT